CAGAACCAAGGCCAGTATGATGAGACCTGCAAAGGGGGAGCAGGGGGAGGGCAGGGCTGGTAGGAAATCAAGTCCGGAAAGCAAGCCAAGCTGACAACTGGGGGAAGGATTTGAAATCTTGTCTCAGTTCAGTGGAAACTCATTAAACAGGGCTGACAAGCTGTGATTGCCATTGTAATGGTAGCTGCCCAGGGCAGGGCACCAGGGAAGGCCAGGGAACTGTAGGCACCTTTCATAGAGATCCAGGTGAGAGGCAATAGAAGTTTGAATGGGTGAGGGCAGTGGGTCAAAAAGAAAACCGTCATCCAATGTAAATCCTGTCAGGACCCCAGCTAACAAGCAATCTACCCACTTTTCTAAAGTTTTCAGCATGGAGACAGTAAAGACTGTAAATATCAGTATTGTACTAACTTACTCTGAAGTACAGCCTACTACCTCAGCACCTCCCTGGAGGCCTCACACGGTTCGTAAGCCTTCTGCTAAGGCTCCCAGAAACCACCAGATGGTCGGCCAGATAGCTCAGTGGACTAAAGCGCCTGCTTGGGACCTGGGTTTGATCCCTGGCATGCAGTGCCAGCCCCGCCCCCAGAACGTGTTGAGATGGCAGTTGAGACTTGGCGTTGTGGTGTGCATCTGCAATCCCAGTGCTTGGGAGGCTGAAAACAGGAGGATCACTATGAATCTGAAGTGCATAGTGAGACCCTGTACTAGATACATTAAAAAAGAAAGGAAGGAAGGAAGAAAAGGAAAGAAACAAAACAAAAAGAAACCACCAGAATCTCACCCTTGGGCTCCCTCCCTCTCTCCTTTTCTCTCCCTCTCTCCCTTCCTCTTTCCTTTCCTCCATCTCTCTCTTTTCCCCTTCCCTCCCCATCTCTCTCTCATTCTCCCATGCTTGAACTTTCTGTCTCTCTGTCTCTCTCCACTTTTTCAGTAACTCAAATTTCTTGGCTATGTTGATTCTGTAATCTAACACTGCTATGAGACTTTGAGCCATACCCCTTCCACTGTTTCTTAAGAGGTTACAGAAGCAATATTACTTGAACTTAGACCTGTAAAACATTGAGTAAAGACATTTCATGGATGGTCCAAAGCAAAGTTTCTCCTTGCAAACAGGATTTTATGATAGGGCTACATTTTGTGAGCAGCCAGGACTGGGTGTGGGAATTCACCCCCTGGAGAGTGTTCAGCTGCCAGGAGAACCTTGTGCTCCTTTTAAGCTCACATTAACCTTCTGGCTCTATCTTGTATTTCTCCTTTCCAATAAAATAAAATTGTTCTTGAAAGAAACTATTTAGAAGCCTACCTGGCAGGTATACTTCTGAACAGATAACCAGGAAGTCTTTAATGATGTGTTTATAGTTTGCTGTCCCCGTGATGGAAGATGCCTTAATTGTACACTGGTGACACTCTATACACTGGTTTAGGACATTTAGCTTTACGAGTATCGCCATAAGTTTGTGAGTCTGTAGGGCATTTGCCTTAAATCTGTGGGTAGCGGAGGAAGGTTGTTGTTATCAGAACCCAGAGGACTTGTAAAGCAACAAGAATAGCAAAGAACGGAAGGCAGATTTCACAATACAGTTTGCACTGCTTTGGTGGATTCTAACTGTTGACCCTTGACTGATTTGGAAGTCTTTTATGGGGAAACATTACCCTCATGGGCTCTCCCTGTCACAGAATGCAAGAATACATTGCGGTTAGCTCTCTAAAAACTTGTTGGCCAGTTATAACTTCAAAGGAAGTAGAAGACTAATTTCAGGAGATAGATACACAGTTGGTAATGGCCTTGTCACCTGAGTAGTGAATTAAAGTGTCGATTTGGTGACTGTACCTTTAGCTCTGATTACTTCATCATGAGAGAAAGAAGCTGTGAAATGGGGAATAAAGGCACACTTTCTTATAATCATTTACATAGATCGTTTTAGATTGTTTTTTCACCTATTCGATGTTTAAATTCCTCATAAGCACAGAACTAGATTTATCAATAGAGTGAATTAAGATAGCGTGACAGAACTCGCGTGTTAAATCCAGGTCTATCTGGGCATCTCTTCCAGTACTGCTCACAAAGAGTAAGTAAGCTGCTGAACCTCTGGACCCCCTTTCATTTACCTGTAAAGTGAGATAGCAATCCCATGGTCTAAAAAGAGACAGACATGACTGTGGAAAAGTGCTCCAGACTGTACTTGTATTTACTGACAGTGCTCATGGCGTGACTGGGGTCTGCGCCGAGTGTCT